GAAGGAATGTCTCTCCCGGCTCTGAGCTAAATGAACTGTAGGAAAGAGATCTCCAGAGAAGAAAACAGACATGGAATAAACGAATCCAGTGCCGCCACTTTTCACTTCTGGCTACATGGGAAGCCCCCCTCTGGCTTTCCCAAGGTGGGGGGCTCCGGATGGGATACAGGGAGGGAGAAGTCGGGCCCTTACCGTGACAGGCAGCGAAGACTCCAGCAAAGCAATGGTGACGTAGGCCGAGAAACTGAGCTCATCATCCACCCCACCCTGGAACAGAGAAGGAAAGGAGACGGCAGCCATCAGCTCCAGGCACATCCCAAGGGCCACCCCCTTCCTCTTGTTCTCAGGACCGGCTTTCTGCAGCCTTCACCCTCCGGCAACAACAAAATGCGGAAGGGCGTATTTCCACAGGACAAAATTACAGCTGTTTGATACCCTTTCTTATTCTAAGGCAGTGGTTCCCAACCTTGGGTCCCCAGATGTTCTTGGACTGCAACTCCCAGATGCCTACGAGCTCTGGGGACCCAAGGCAGAGAGCCCCTCTTCTCAGGGATCCTGGGGTTTATAGTTCTTTTGAAGTCTTTTGAATTCTCAAGGCAGTTCAAGGGTCATATGCACGGGAGGGGACAATCCTTAATCAACGACAACTTCCAGGATTCCCTAGAGTAGACTTAGTAAAAATACTATGAAACAGACATGTAGACAAGATTAACTCTTTTAAGAGTCCATAAGAAGTACAATAAGTCTACAGCTTTGAGGAAAGAAGACTGAGGGGAAATAGGAAAGCGCTTTTCAAATACTGTACTTGGAAGGCTGTCCTTCAGGAGGAGGGGCAGGATCGGTTCTCCATCATCCCAGAGTGCAGGACACGCCACAATGGGCTCAAGTTACAGGAAGCCGGATTTCGGCTGATTATCAGGGAGAAAAAAACGTTTAACTGTTAGAGCAGTACGACAAAGGAACCAAGGACCTCAAGAGGTGGGCAGGCGCTCCAACATTTTAGAGGCCTTCAAGAGAAAAGTAGACCACCACCTAGCAGATCTCCTTTAATTCTCATTCCTGCATTGAGCGGAGGGTTGGACTCCAAGGCTTCATTCATAGGCCGCTCCCAACCTCATGATTCTACTGTTTCCTGTGATTCAATGACATGCCCTAATTTAATCCTGGATACCCAAGGTAGGAGGACCACTTCAGGGACATCTCCAAAATTTGTCAGCACTGTTCATCCTTCCTTTCATGATGATGAGGGGCTAACCCCTGTGGCTTTTTCCACGACAGATAGGGCCCGCCTGGTACCTTCAGAGCATTGTTGAGGAGGGTTCCCGTGGTCCGGAAGCAGCCGTTCTCCTTCTGCCGAACGGCCAGCCAGGCCTGAGCATTTGTGATGTGCTGTTGTTCCACATAAATCTGGTGACTTGCCCGAGCAAAGGACTTCATCACAAACGCCGTTAACCTGTGATATAACCCCCACCCAAATCGTTAGTGATTGATTGACTGACTGACTGATTGATTTCCATTCATTCATAGAGCTATCCTGGTTTTCCAGGCCCCATGGTACCCCTTACCTATCCGCATCACCAAAATCAAGGTGGCTTTCTCTTTTCCCTTCCCTTGATTCGTGTGTTACTCCTCCTTCAAGTTTTAAGAATGCCACATTCTTGTTAACGATAAAATTACAGTAGGACTGTGGGGTTAGTACCCAAGGTTTCATTTATCCGCTGCTTCAAAATATTAAATAAAAATCCCAGAAATATGCATTTCCAAGATGTATTACCAAAACTGGTCACTAGAGGGAACTAGAGACTGTGAAATATATAGGGTTTGCTATATCCATGGTTTTCATCATCCGCGGGAAGGCTTGGAACTGATCCACTACAGATACAACGATCCTACTCTAATTAGAAAGCAACTGTAAATAACTTTTGGAATGAAGGTTTCCATCAATAAGATCCATTCCCAATATAAATCAGTAAGACTTTCATTCCTGTGGAAAAGAATTCAATCTAAGTTGCTATGTCTAGCAAACTATGTACTTTCAAGCTCTGTGCTTTTTTAGTTGGAAACTTTGCTCCTCTTAATCTACTGGGTTGCGAACTGATTTCATGAGTATTTTCCCACCAACCGCACAACATTCCTCCTACTTTGATTAATACTGTGACCTTTCCTGTAACTCCCTGTGTTTCATTCAACCATTTTGCCTTGCTTTTTTCCCCGGGGAACGGAGTTTAGCGCTACACTGCTTCCATTTCTGTGGCAGAAGCGCCAACTGGAAGCCTTCAATGAGCATTCAAAAGCCCTTTAAAAACCCAGTCCCATCAGAGAAGCCCCAGAAGAGAAGTTACTTTCTTTAATTTCATTAAAAGGATTTCTCAGGAAGGCTTTAAATAGAAGTATTTTTTCTTGGCCAACTGGAAGCCTTCAATGAGCATTCGAAAGCCCTTGAAAAACCCAGTCCCATCAGGGAAGCCCCAGAAGAGAAGTTACTTTCTTTCATTTCATTAAAAGGATTTATCAGGAAGGCCTTAAAAAGAAGTACTGCATTTTTCTTTAAAAGGTCTGTTTGGATGTGAATCCTGGTAAAACAGACACTCCATGGTCAAAAAAAGAGTTATCCGATGCTCCATCAGGAATAGTTTGCTAAGAATCAATGAGTTCAATTTTGCCAGCTTTGATCATTTCAGCACTCCTTGCCCCTCTATCTATCTATCTATCTATCTATCTATCTATCTATCTATCTATCTATCTATCTATCTATCTATCTATCTATCTATCTATCTATCTATCTATCTATCTATCCATCCATCCATCCATCCATCCATCCATCCATCCATCCATCCATCCATCCATCCATCCATCCATCCATCCATCCATCCATCCATCCATCCATCCATC